ACCGTTGACTATGGTGTTTGCTAAAAGCAATCTTTATTATAGTTGTTCCATGCTAGTCTTACTTTGGTGAAATGTTATATATAAATCATAAGTGAGTGTTGAATTTTATCACATGAATTGTTTTCTGGTGAACTGAATTGCCCTTTCTTCCCCAAATTAGTAGTAGAATTTTTTTTAACCTCCGGTGGCAGCGGTTAGAGCTTATCTTTATCTTCAGTCATAGCACACTGTCATCATTACTTGGTTGGATTTAATTGTATTCCTGTCATCACTAGTTTTCTAATTACATCTTCCTCTTTCCTCTCCCTCATCATTGGTACCAGTATTCATGTGTTTAGTATATATGTGCCTTGGGTATGTATATGGCATTTTGTTTGTACCAGTATGTATTTTTCATTGACATAAGCTGTATTGTAATGTAGGCCTCATTCTTTCCATATCACACTTGGAGATAGAAAGACTAAAATGTGGCAGGTGTGTCCTGGAAACCCTATATAACATATAAGCAGTGAACTAGGTAGGGGCTTCCAAAAGTTTGTGGGAAAATGGAATTAAATGATAATAGGATTTTTCTATGAATTTTTAAAGGGCTTCCCCATATATATTTGGCATATTTGTAAAGTATTAAGAGATTGTCTCAATATGAAACTCTTTTTCCTGATATAAAACATTGTACTGATTTTTAAAACCCTTTTTGAATGTGGTTATTATTTGATTTCTAGTTTTGATATGCTTGGCTTAGTATGTTTCAAAAAGGAATTGGATTCCCGCCCCTATTCTTCTCTAGTCTTGGCATACCTTTACCCTTGACCCACATATAACCTAGCTTTGATTTATGAGGCCGAGCTTAATTTTTATAAGGTTGTTGTCAAATTTGGAGATATTTTGTACAAAGAGGCTGGCACATTGCAGCTACTGTTGTTTTCACAATGCAGACTTGCCTTCTACAATGCTGTCCTGTGGTAAAAGTGCAGTAATATTTGGTAAGTGACTGAACAGCTAGTAAACACTAAGAGATTGAGTTGATATCTTTTAAAGTTTTTTTTTTGGTTGCAATCAATATTTTCATTAAAAACCTTAGGGGACATGTTGAAGTTCTTTTCATATAAAGAAAAACATTGTCTTATCTCTTCAGGCACTTTTAAATCAACTTCGAGCTGTCTTTGATCAAATTATTGAACTTCAGAATGCTCAAGATGCAATATATAGAGCTGCTTTGGAAGAATTACAGAAACGATTACAGTTTGGAGAGAGAAAGAAACAGCGTGAAATCGAGGTATAGGTTTTGTATTATTGCACTTATCCATTTTAGCAAACTTGTTGCTGCAATGTGAGCAAATGTTAACTTTCCCACTGAAATTTTCATACAAATTGAGCCCATACATCGTCATTTGGGAGTTCTGAGGAAGTATAAGTTATTAAAAAATGATCATAGTCATCATTTAAAAAGTATTAAAAACAGGTAATAGAGTTTAACTGAATCACAGTATCGTGCCAGATTTTATGTCTAAGTATACCAAGCTACGTCCATCCTTTTGGACTGACACGTGCTGCATAGACGATGAGCTCTAAAGCCGTGTCGCTTTTATTACTTTAAGCTGCTGGATCTTACCTATTACTTTATTTTACTTATTAGTGCGAGTCCCAGTTTCTATACTTAAAACTATTCACAGTGACCGTACTAATTTATATTCTCAGTTACCTTGAGTTATGAAGATTGTTAAGCCAGCTTGGCTATTAATGGAATTTTTTCCTATTTGCTATGATCTGTATACTTGTAGGAAATCACAGACAAATTATTCAGAATCAGTAGTTTGTTAACAGTTTTTGTTGTTATTTTGGTTGGGGTGATTGTTTTTAAATGTTGGTTAGAGGACAGCATTTAACTTGGCCCTCATAGGCTGAATTGGTTCTTCCGTGTATTTGGAAACAGGTAGTGCTTGCCGCATTTATATGTCCGACGTCGTTTATTATTCCCAGTGGTTTCCTTTGTCTAGTTTGGTCTGCAGTTTGAACTAGCAGAGGTTTGCACGTAGAATCTCATGGACTTTGTCCAAGCAATACTGTGGATTTTTGCTGGCCTGAAGCTTCATTCATAACTCTGGAAGTTGTGAGCCTTGTGCCTTTGGTTGATGTAACTTCTTCCAGACGCAGTTTCCTTATTTGTTAAATGAGTGTGATAATAAATAATACCTTATAGAGTTACTGATTTACATATGGTAATATTGTCAGTTATTAATCGTTAAATATTCAATAAATGCTGGTCACTGGCCTAGTTTTGAACTCTCCACAGGCCCCAGTTAATCAATCCTTCTGGAAAATCACCAGACTATGTAAAAACTACCTAACCAGTCAATCCTTAAGATCTTTATACTATGATAATAGCATGGCTATTAGCCATGATAATAGCATGTGGGAGTTGATCGTTCTCTCGCTAGACTATTCACCATAGGCAGTGGAGTGAAACAGATTTAATACTAAGGCCGGACGTATTCAGTGTATTTTATTCAGGCATACTTCGGGGGACAATAAGAAGTCTTAAAGCTGAAACTTTATTTGAAAATATGTTTGAATTCAAAAGGCCAGATAATCTTTGAGACCAGCCTAGACCTAAGGCACACTATTAAAGAGATACGCAAGAAGAGTTCGGGATTTTCAGAGAGCTTCTGAGACTGTGTTCTCATGGAAACTGCCTCGGCTTGCATGGTCAGCATTTTGTCCTTGTTTTTTATGTTGCTGAAAATGCCCAAAGTAGTCTCTTCCTCTGTATATATCTAGTTTTTTGCCGTTTTTCCACCTTCCTTCTCAAAACTCTGATGTTTCCCATTCAAATTTATGTTAAGGGGCTTTCACATTTTTTATTTTTAAAAACAATTATGTATTACATCCCAAAAGTTTGTGTTTCTAACATGGCATATTTACTTATTTGCTACATACACACATACAACTGTTTCAGAATCATAATCCTGGTACTACCACCAAAGCCAGTTTTTGAAAAAATTTTTACATTAAAAAAGTTCTTTTTTTTTTTAGCTTTAGAAACATTTTTATTATTTAAAGTATTACAGGAAAAATATTTGTTCATTAATGTGAGTCTAAAATTGTCTAGCTTTGAACCCATTTTTTTCCCATTAAAATAATGGTTTTCCTAAATACAGTATTTGAAACACTTGGTTTCTTAGGAGTCTGTCAGAATAAAGAATAGGCTCACTCACGCTCTCTACACACACATGCATATATGTATATGCATAGGTATGTGCATATGCATATGTATGTGGATATGCACAGATGTATATAATTTTAAAATAAAACTAAGATTGTACTGTATATATAATTTCATACTTTGCGTTCTTAATAGCACATTGTAACATTTCCCAAAGCTTTAAATAGTCTTCAAAATATGGTCTTGAATGGCTACCTAAAGGATTCCATTAAATGGATGAAACACACATTTTGTTCACTGTCCTATTCAATACTTCAAGTTCTATTATAAAAATGCTGTCATGAACATGTAACACATGACTCAGTCCACGTTGCTTATTGTCTTCTTACAATGAATACTAGGACTTTAGTTACCCCATGGTGTTTTGATGAGCAGTACTGATAGTGTATGTGACTCCCGACCCCACCATGATGCTTGGCATTCAGTAATTGGTAGCTATAAATAGGGAATCCAATAACCAACAGGCCAATTCGCCACAGCTGGGAGTCAGAAAAGGGTTCCCCTGGACCAGGGCATGATGATGTAACTGGACAAAAAAGGAGGGAGGGAAGGGGCCTCTCTTTTGCTTTCATCCTAGGAGAACAACCCTGCCATCCCCAATGTCCTTGCCGACATGACCCCTGCGGTCCTTCAAGCCCTGCTATGAAAAAAAGTTCTTCTTAACAATCCCTTTCCCCCCTTTTTCCTCTTTAGGCTGCATCCCCATAAATACCCAAACTCGTTGTCATTGAGTCTATTCTAGCTCATAAAGACCATGTAGGACAGAATAAATTTGCCTCATAGGATTTCCAAATCTGTAAATCTTAATGGAAGGAGATTGGCACAGCTCATGGACCAGAGGGTGAATTCTAACCACTGACCTTACGGTGAGCACTTAATCAGTGTGCCACCATGGCTCCTTTTCACAGTGGATATTTACAGTCAAATTCCATAGTGTGATGTCTCTTGACATGTTTACTGACCTTAAATTATGCTGCTAACTTCATATACACTTAAAGTAATTGATTTCACTTTTGCTTTCATTTTTTTAGGAATTAATTTATCAGTAAAGCAAAATCAATTAATTATGCCATATATTCACTTGGTTCTACAGTCAAATGGTGGCATAGTGCTTACCAGTTGGGCTACTAACCACCAGGCCAGCAGTGCCACCAGCAGCTCCGCAGAAGACCCTCCTGTGCAGAGTCACAGTCAGACCCACAGGGCAGTCCTAGTCTGTTCTCCGGGGCTGTGAGCCGGAGTGCACTTGACGGGAGTGAGTGAGGGACAGTCAGAGCACAGAACAAGGCATTGCGACAAGGGTCGCTTTTGTTGTCGTCTACCTTACTGTGGGTCTCGTGTGGACACGGATGTGACAATTCATAACAAAATAGTAGCAAGCTGTGATCTATCAAAAGGCCGGTACTTTACAAACAAGTTTAAGTTTATTCCAAGAAAATAGATCTTTTGCTTTTGCTTTTCTGACCAGAAAGCATTGTCAGCTCTCTTCATTTACAAACTAAAAGATAAAAATCACTTGATCTTGAGAAGCGACGGAGTAAATGATAGAATTCCAAGCATGCTATAAGTAGAATGAGTCGTTCTTCATCTAATAAAATATTTACATTAAAAATTTTAAAAACTGAAAGATATCATACTCAGTGGTGAAATGCCGAGTGTATCTTTCTAAGATTAGGATTGAGACACAAGTTTATCTGCTTTCACCACATCAATGTTGTAAACCAAGAAAAACAAATGCAAAAGGAACGGCTTGGGGAAAAAGCAAACCATTGAGTAAAATCATCATTGTGGGCTAGAAAATCCAAGAGGTAAAATGCCTAAGGAAATGTACCAAGGGAGGTGGAAACAGGCCACTACATAAACATGAATTGTATTTCCTTATGCGTGCTGCAAAATAAATTCTTAAAAGAAATAACATTTAATACCATATTGTTAAAAATCCAAGAAAATACACACGAAGCAGCTATTCATGAAATTATAAAGCAAGGTTTGGGAACTAAATTTTTTTGTAAATAAAATTTTATTTGCACATAGTCACACTCACTTGTTACTTTTTGTCTGTGGTTGCTTTTGTGCTACGGAGGGGTAGCTGTGACACACAGCCCTTATTCTAGAGCAGCAGTTCTCAGCCTGTGGGTTGCGACCCCTTTGTGGGTCGAATGACCCTTTCACAGGCAGGGGTCACCCCATTCTTAACAGTGGCAAAATTACAGTTATGAAGTAGCAACGAAAATTTTATTGTTGGAGGTCACCACAACATGAGGAACTGTATTAAACGGTTGCGGCATTAGGAAGGTTGAAAACCACTGCTCTAGAGAATAGAGAAAATTAAGAGATAGTGCATAAATAGAGTATCATGTTATTGCATTAGAAAATTAATGTATATTAAATACAATTCCAGTTTCCATTTCAAGAGTTGCTTTTGCTTTTTTGGGTAGAAATTGGTAAACTAATGCTAAAGTTTATGTTGGAATTCATAAGGCCTAGAATAGCCAAAACATTATTCAACAAGAACAAAATTGAAAATTTATATTTATTCTACCACCTGTGAAGCCTTACAGGAAAGTTATAGCAATTAGGAAGTATAATACTGCGTCACGGGACAGCCAAATCAAGGGACTGAGTAGCATCTAGGAATAGACCTACCCGTTGAGGGCGAGTCAGTCTCTGAGCAATTGGTTCTACGAACAGTGGGAAATGCCCAAGCTTTTAAATAAATTGCATTAGGTCAACTGTATCTTACACTTTACACATAAACTGTAATGTTCCACCTATTATAAAAATAATGTGAAAGGTAAAATATTAAAACTTACACATGGTAACATAAGAATGACTTTGGGATGAGGATCCTCCTTCCACCTTATAGCCTTGATCTTGCCCCTTCAGACTTCTTTTTCTTCAAACTCAGAGTTCCTGGAAAGGAACAGGGCTCGAGTTCCTTGCGATGCTAAAACTGCTGTTTTGACACAATGTAAATCCAAGAGTACAGGTGTCTTGAGGAAGTGCTAGAGAGCTGGAAACACTGCCTTCACAAGTATATAGACCTGGATGGAGGCTGTGTTAAGAACCAGTAGCTTCACATTTTAATTTTTTTGTTTGATAAAGGTATCTATGATTTCATAGCATTACTTTCGAGACTTACCCGTCTATGTCATATTTAGTGGGAAGCAGTAAGTAGGAGCCCTTGTGCTGCAGCGGATGTGTGTTGGCCTGTGGTCCTCCAGACTGGCAGTTTGAAACCACCAGCTGCTCCACGGGAGAAAGTGGGGCTTTCTATTCCCGTAAACAGTTGTTTGGGAAACTCAAAGGGTGCATTTCTACCACCCTGCCCTATAGGGGTCACTAGGAGTTAGCATCGACTCATGGGAATAAGTTTTTTTGTTTTTTTGTAGTAAGAAAGACCACTACTGAAGTCAAGAATTAAAGCAGTTTAAAAGGTGCCAGTATTTTGAGTTGTGTGGTTCTTTTGTGTATATTTTCTTTTATGAGAACTATACATAATGGTAAGATGAAGGATTGTGGAGAGGCATCTCAGAGTTCCTGGAAAAATTCCATTCTCTTTCTATTGTAGTTTTCCGAAACCTTTTGGAAGCATCTTTGTATTTACTACGTGTCGTATGAAATAGCAGGAGCCCTGGTGGTATAGCCGTTAGAAATCACCAGCCAGCTTCACAGGAGAAAGATGAGGCTTTCGACTTCCTGGAGTTAGTGTCTTATTCTTTCCTGTAGGGTCGCTGGGAGTGAGAATTGACTCAGTGGCAGTGAGTTTGGTTTGGACTGGTTAACTTGTGATAATTAAAGAAGTGCATCTTGCAAAATGTAATATGTAGTTATTTTTAAAATATAAGGTAGTTTTGTGTATACTTTATATATATTGAAATCAAGGGTATCCAAGATACATTATTGAAATCACCGGGGGAATTAATTTTGCATCAGAAAATTTTCATGAAAGTTTTAGCAGGACCGGTTATACAAAGTGTAGACCTCTCCACTAAGATAAGTAATTCTCCGGTCCCTTTTGTCAACCAACAGTTCCTTTCATGATGGCTTAAATGAAAACGTTGTCTTTTCATTCTCCAGGGCCAGTGGGGAGTGACAGCAGCCGAAGAAGAGGAAGAGGGGAAGAGGATTCAAGCATTTCAAGAATCTATTCCAAAAATGTGCTCACAGTTACGAATATTGACACATTTCTACCAGGTGCATATTGGATTAACACAATTTTGCTCGTCACATTGGTCATTTTCTATAATTTACAGTTGCATGCATTCAAAATGATTAAACATCAATCACCTCCATTAATTGAGCATGTAGTTATGAGGCTGTGAATAGTAAGCACAGTGATTCTTAACTCTGTTTACACTTTGGATCACGGGGGAGCCTACAAACTCACTGACGCCTTTGCCTGCGGCGTTCACTGAGAGTTTTTGGAGAACTCAGGCTGCAGTGTAGCTTGGGCGTCAGGATATTTAAAAGTGCCCAGGTGAGGACAAAGGTGCTGAGAACCACTCCTCTAGAGTTTGCTCTCACTTGTACCTTACTGTAAGCCCAGCTGGCTTCTCTTCTCCACTGGTGGTGGGGATGGCTTCGGGAGGATCTTGTCCCATGTTTGTATTTGAAGCCCAAGGTCGAAACTGTGGGGACCAACTATAGCTACCTTGGATAGATAATGCCTGCTAACGATTAAATAAGTTGTGTATTTTGGCAGTCATGTGATTAGTACTTAGTAGTCACTCTTTTAGCCATGATTAGAAGCATTCAGTAATGTTAACATGTTAAAGTCTATGAGAAGTAGAAGTAATTAGCTATTACTATTTACGAAGGCAACTTGAACCTTGCGACATTAGGAACTGATTTAAAAGATCTATGTAAACATTTCATTTTACATGGATCCACAATATAATAATTGGAACACTGTAATAAATCCTTTGTTTTTCAACTGGATCCACAATCTGCTCATGGGAGCAGCAGTCAAGAAATCCAGCTAGGTATTGCACAGGGCAGAGCTGCCACAAATCACCTCTTCCAAGTTGAAAAGCGAAGGTGACCTGAGGACCAGAGCCCTGCACCCAAGGCCGGTGTGTCAGTCTCCTCGGGCAGTCCCGCCTTTGCAGAGCAGCTTGCCTGATTTGGTAAATGCTGAAAATGCCTTATGAAACAGCATTTACCTCTGGGTACACCTGTGAAAGTGGGTGTTTGTTCGGCATTTATTGTCTTAGAAGGAAAAATAATCCCATAAAGCTTGGGATACATTTTGTTGGTAGGGTTTTTTTTCTTCCAGAAATCAATATTTTACTCATTTTCTTTCTTTTTAGGGCATTGTGCAGCAGTTTTTGGTGTTACTGACAACCAGCTCTGATGAAAGTCTTCGGTTTCTTAGCTTTAGATTGGACTTTAATGAACACTATAAGGCCCGAGAGCCAAGACTGCGAGTGTCTCTGGGCACTAGAGGGCGACGCAGTTCCCATGTGTGAAGCATTCTGTATGATCACAGGAGATAAAAGTGATGGTAATTCCATTATTAGACATAAAAGTTCTCAATTAAACTTTAAAGCCAAGTGGCATGCTGCAGTGTCTACCATTTCTGCCCTAAAATACTCCATGTGTTTTGATGGCACTGTTCTGGTAGTATTTAAGGTCACGTTTTTATACATTCAAGTTGAATAGATTTATAAAATCATCAAGTTAAATGATTGATTTGCACTATTCAAGTTTTATTTTTAAAAATCTTCATATTTAAAAGATAGCATACTTTGTTGAGCTTCTAAGTTCTCCATGATATAATTTATATTTGCCACTTTCTAAGAAAAAGAATAAAAAACTTTCTTTTATGAGAAAATTAGGGTGGTGGGAGATCCATCAATTAAGATGTTAATGTCATTACTATTTTTTTAAACATCCTCTCTAGCAATCTTTTTGTTTAATATTATTAAGTTGGAATGACATGTCCCCAGTAGCAAGAAAATATATAGGCTATTTTATTTTGGGTTTTGTTGTTGTAAAGTACTAACCTTGGTCAAAGTTCTTATATCTTAATGCATTATCTTTTCATATGCTTATTATTTTTCTCTCTTTTAAAGTTTACATTTTTATATTTAATTTAGTGTTTTAGATAACTTCTAAAATAGGATGTAGAGCTTCTAAAACAGGATGTGATGTAGAATGAAAACATCCTCAAGAGTGCATCTTACATTTCTTGAAACTGTTAGCTGAAGCAATGTGTAAATATGAGTGAATAGAAAAGTTAATGAAGTATTTTATTTTCAAAATCCTGAGAAGCATTGGAAAGAAATTGACTTGGATAATGAAGATTTCCTTTTTCCTTGCCTATTTTTTCATTGTAAATATTTGTATACTACTGACCAGATGTTGGGGGAAAGTGTTTTTTTGTAAAAATGTCATATCAGGTCATATAAATTTGCCTTTATTGTTCCATAAGTGAAAACTTAGGAAATTAAAAGCAATTATCTTTGAAGTGCACTGGTTATTTCTTGATGAACAGATACAGTTTGCTTGCCAGGTTTGTGAGTGAATGCATGATGAAAGATACTAATTTAATTTTAGTTTAAAGAGTCATAAAATCAGACATTCGAAGCAGAGTTTCTCTACTGCAAGCCTCTCAGGAATTATGGGATATTGTGAATCTCTAAGAGAAATTTCCTGAAGTCATTGGACTTTAGAACCTGTTTTTACCTTATTTATATAAGGCATGGGCTTAAAACTATTATGATTAGAAACCACTGATGTGATTAGATCTGTGAATTAACTATAAAGCTTCTAAAAAGGTGCCCTCTGTATCAACAGCCATGAAAGCCTGGGCAGGAGCCAAGTCTCAATATTAGAAAGTAATTATGGGTCAGAAAGGTTGAGGTATCAGGACCACAGACAGGAGAACTTGAGTTGTGGCGATGGACATATAAGGCCTTGGAAGAATTCGTTTTAGACATCAAAGAAGAGACGTCCCTGTTGATAGACAGGTCTGTTACAGAGCTGTAGCAGATGTGCCAAGAGGCCCTTTGGCACAGAGGGTTATGCTTTGGGCTGCAAACCACAGGCCAGCCCTTCAAAGATGAGGCTTTCTGCTCCCACTGGGGCTGTTCTGCTCTGTCCCTTAGGGTCGTTATGAGTTGGAGTCAGCTTAAGCCAGAATCCGCAAAGGCTTGGATCTCTGGGAGAGCCCTCCTGGGTGGGGATGAGACAAAAGCAATGCAACAGAGGATCTCAAACAGCTTTTGGAGGCAGAACACTATTGAAATGGCTCTAGGGGTGCCACTGCATCGTTCTATCTTGCAGGGATGCGAAGACTAAAGGGACTGGATCCATAAGGTTTGGTTCATAGGAGGTACTTCCTCGTGTTGCTGTTGTGTTCCAGTGGACGGACGCATTTGCCTGGGCAGCTTAAATAAGCCAAACCGAGTTTTGTTAGAACTGAAGACACCTCTTCCCCACATAAGAAGTTTCTTCTGCTGTGGTTGGACGTTATCCTGTGATAGGGTCTGTAATGCTGTTGGAAGGACTTGCCTCTTTGGTGATTATTATGCTAATTCTTACTCAACTCAGAGGAGACCTGTTGGTGCAGTTGGTTAAGTGCTGCCTGCTGTGTTGCAGGTTCCTGGGTCAAACCTTCCATCCGCTCTGCAGGAGAAAGAGGAGGTTGTTGACTCCTGTAAAGAGGAACAGTCTTGCAAACTCAAAAGGAGTTGTTCTACTCTGTAATAGAGGGTTACTGTGAGTTCTCAACTCATGGCGCTGGATGTGGGTTTAGTTTATGGTTCGCTCGCTCAATGAAAGTGCTTCCTTGCTGACCTTGTCACTAGCAGCACACAAAGCCTCAATAATTCCCAGTTCCCTATGGGAAAGCGTGTCCTCTAGACTTTGAAAATGAGGACCTAAAAGCACAGCGAACATGAAAAGTCCCCTTTTTTTCCAGTGAAAAAATCCCTTTTATCAAATTATGAAATCGAGTCACAAAGCACAAATTAAATACAGAAGCAGCTTTGTGTTATCAGAAACTACTATTATCTCTTGTTCAATATCTATTAATTGAGCTTACCTTAGACCACTAGGGTTGCCTGTAGCTATTGATTTGTTTGATTTAAATATTAGTTATATATTATTAAGACACGCCTCTCCCTCTGGCTTCAATATATCTATTCCCGAGAAGTAGATGGTTGACCCTATGTTAGTAATAAAAACATCTCCTGTGCTGTTACTATGCATTTAAATATATAGGAAGAAAATAGAACAATATACAGAAAATTAGAATAGTAGTTAAATATTTGCGTTACAGTGACCAAATGAGAAAGCACTTAAATATATGACTAGTAGGGAGAACTAGGTTGATTCAGAATTCAGTAAAGTTGGAGCTAGATTGAAAGGGTCTGTTGGAATTGGACTTGGTGGAAAAGGCAGGAAGAATGACAGATCAAATGAGCTCACAGATGTCAGTTCTTGGAGCTCTTTGCCAGTAGTCAGAAATATCACTGTCTTGGACGAGTAATTATTTATCCTAATGACCCTGTTAGTTTTAATAGCACAAGAATTACTTGTACTTTTTAGTGAGTAGAAGACAGCCATTTCATTCTACTATGCTTATTAGACAATTCAGATATTTTTAGTAAGTTTGCTTTTTAGAAATCAAGCAATTTCATTTGAAATTTCAAATTATTTGGCATTTTTACATCGGTTATTGTAATTTTATAAATATTCATATTAGAGGTATACTCCTTTAATTCATAATGCTATATATTTTTGTTTCCTTTTTTCCCTGGTACATTTACCAAAGTTTGCTTGTAATTTCTCTTTTTTTGGTGTCATTTATTATTAAATGGTAAGTAAATTTATTTTCCTTTGTTTATAAATTCTTAATGTTAACATTTAATGTTTCTTTTGGTTTACTTAATCAGTTTGGTTCTTAGGAAATATATTTCTCATTGTTTAATCAGACGATGCATCTAATTATGGTTTACACCACAGGTTTTTTATATAGTGGGTTTTCAGTGTCGTTCTTACAAATTCCGTGGCACAGGTTAGGTGAGCAGCTCCGGTGCTGTCTGTTTGCTGAAATATTTCCAGTGATCGTTCCTCAGTTTTGGAGCCTTGTTTTTCACTAATGCCTTCAGTATAACTGACTTCTTCGGTGTTATTGGCTCTTAAGCATAGGCCACTTCCTCTTAAATGGTTGAGTGTCTAACAGTTATTTTTCCATTGTCTTTTGAGGTTTCTGCATTTTTCAATATTCTGCCCATAGAATCCTAAAATATTGCAACTTTAAGGCTTCAATTCTTTCTTAGGATTCAAATGTCTGCCAAAAAATTTGGAAGATTTTTCTGGTCAGCTGATTAGAAAAGATCCATAATTGTACCCATTGCAAAGAAAGGTGATCCAACAGAATGCAGAAATGATCAAATACTATCATTAATATGACATGCAAAAAATTTTACTAAAGATAATTTAAAAACCAATTGAGCAATGTATCAACTGGGAATTGCCAGCAATTCATTCCAGATTCAGAAAAGTATGTGGAATGATAGATATTGTTCCTGGCATCAGATGGATCTTTTTTCTTTTTATATGATTTTAAAATTATTATTATTATTATTATTTTAAATCGTTTTATTAGGGGCTCATACAACTCTTATCACAATCCATACACATCAATTTGTGTAAAGCACATTTGTACTTTCATTGCCCTCATCATTCTCAAAACATTTGCTCTCCACCTAAGCCCCTGGTATCAACTCCTCATTTTTTCCCCTCCCTCCCCGCTCCTCCCTCTCTCATGATAATTTATAAATTATTATTTTGTCATATCTTGCCCTGTCCGATGTTTCCCTTCACCCACTTTTCTGTTGTCCCCCAGGGAGGAGGTTATATGTAGATCCTTGTAATCGGTTCCCCCTTTCCAACCCACCCTCCCTCTACCCTCCCAGTATCGCCACTCACACCACTGGTCCTGAAGGGATCATTGGCCCTGGATTCCCTGTGTTTCTAGTTCCTATGTGTACCAGTGTACATCCTCTGGTCTAGCCAGATTTGTAAGGTAGAATTGGGATCATGATAGTTGGCGGGAAGGAAGCATTTAGGAACTAGAAGAAAGTTGTATTTTTCATTGTTGCTACATCACACCCTGACTGGCTTGTCTCCTCCCTGAGAACCTTCTGTAAGGGGATGTCCAGAGGCCTACAAATGGGCTTTGGGTCTCCACTCCGCACTCCCTGCCTCATTCAAAATGATCCCTGATCCCTTCAATACCTCGTGATCACACAGGCTGGTGTGCTTCTTCCATGTGGGCTTTGTTGCTTCTGAGCTAGATGGCTGCTTGGTTACCTTCAAGCCTTTAAGACCCCAGAGGATCAGATCGATCTTTGCTGAAAGCAGAAAAATACAAGAAAAATGTTTACCTGTGTTTTGTTGACTGTGCAAAGGCTGTGTAGATCATAAAAAATCATGGATAACATGGTGAAAATGAGAATTCCTGAACACTTGTACAAATGTAGAACCTGTACATAGGCCAGCCTTTTGAACAAACAAGGGGATACTGCATGTGTTACAATTAGGAAAGCTATACATCAATGCTGTATCCTTTGACCATAATTAACTAATCTGTAAGATGACCAAATAATTCAAGAAGCTGTATTATATGAAGAACAAGCCAGTATCAGGATTGGAGGAAGACCCGGTAACAACCTGCAAAATACACACGACACAATATTGCTTGCTGCAAGTGAAGAGGATTTGAAGCATTTCCTGATGAAGATCAAAGACTACAGCCTTCCATGTGGATTACACCTCAGTAGAAACCCAAATCCTCACAACTGGACCACTAAATATCATGAGGATAAATGGAGAAAAGATTGAAGTTTTCAAGAACTGTATCTTACTTGGATCTATAATCAGTGTCGATTAAAGCAACAGGAAATCAAATGACAACATATTGCATTGGGCATATCTGCTGCTTAAAGATTAAGGTGTGTCTAATCTAAGCCCTGACATTTTGTCTTGCCTCATTTACATATGAAAGCTGGATAATGAATAAGGAAGACCACAGGTGAGTTGATGAATTTGAATTATGTGGTTGGTGATGGATATTATGTCTTCCACAGACTGCTAGAATTGCAAGTCTATCTCAGAGGAAATACAGCGAGAATGCTCCTTAAGAAGCGAGGATCGCAAGATATGACAAAATAACAATTAATAAATTATCAAGGGCTCATGGAGGGGAGGGGGGGTATGAGGACCTAATGCCAGGGGTTTAAGTGGAGAGGAAATGTTTTGAGAATGATGAGGGTAATGAATGTACAAATGTGCTTTACCCAATTGATGTGTGTGTGGATTGTGATAAGAGGTGTATGAGCCCCTAATAAATGATTTAAAAAAAAAAAGAAGTGAGGATGGCAAACTTCAGCTAAAGTACTTTGGACATGCCATCAGGAGGGACTAGCCTCTGGAGTTAGGGCGTCTTGCTTAAGAAGA